TTTTATTTGATGTGTGCAATTATTTATGATTGCAGGTGTTTATCCCTATTTTGGAATGTCGTCATTGGCTTCTCGTCGAGCTTCAGCTCCCATCCCTGAAGACAATAGTATATGACAACATGTTGAATTACATACCATTGTCTGATTTGAGAGATATTATTACAAAGGGATGGAGCGATCATTTTGCTAAATACTTGAATGCGCTTGATTATTAGACAAATTCTGGAAACAAGAAGCCAAAGAAGTTCAAAATTAAAATAATCAGAGACGAGACTGCACCACAACAAACGTAGGGAGCCAGAGGGGATTGTGGTCCTCTCGTATGCTTGTGCTTGGAACGTTTGACGACAGGAAGTACACAATATCTACCTCCCACAGATAGAGATAGAGCTGCAGTAGGCTTGTGGTTTCAGCATTATATGGCCAGATCGATATATGCGAGACGTTGCCTACCTGCATCCGCGTGCTGAAAGTTGTACATAAACAATTGGTAAGTTTGAGCAAGTGTTGTTATATGTACTCTTTAATTGGTTTGAAAATACTTGGTTAAGTACCTAGAATTCAGTAATTTGTTGTTTGTTGGTTTTAGATGTATATAAAGTGTTGTTTGAGCAAATGTTTGGTTTCTGCAGGTTAATCCTGAAGTGAGCTGTGTGAAATGTATTTGTACATAAACAACAGTCTAGGGTACACTTTTTTTTCTTTGTTTAATTGAATTTTATATTGAAAGTTGATTTGTTTAATTGATGAGGAAATAAGATTTATTTTTTGATTAATTGATTTGTAAAAGTTGATTTGTTTAATTTGATTTGTAAATAAGAATTATTTTTTTGCTTGTTTAATTGATTTGTAAAAGTTGATTTGTTGTTTCTAAAAAAATTCAATATGCATTATGTTTGAAGGCAAAAAAGACCTGTTGAAGGTACAAATTCGCAACGCGATTTTCGGTTTACAAATTTGACTTTCGCGTTACGAATTTGACTATCGCAACGCTTATTTCGCGTTGATCGCAACATACAACATCAAGGTATATACAACATCAAGGTATATACAACATCAAACACATTCCAAGCTATAAATACAAGCTAAGGACACTTGAAGAAGCAAGAGAACAACTATCCAAAAAATCAAACACAAGAGAAAATCCCAACATGATAACAACTGAACAGATCATATCAATGTTCAAACTCAAGTTGTAGATTTTGATTTCCTTTTGCTTGGCACCATATGAGATTTGGATTTTGATTTCCTTTTGCTTGGCACCATATGAGCTTTGGATTTTGATGTGCATCAGAAGCATTTTGGACTTAGGATTTGGGTGGTACTCAGAAGCATTTTGGTCTTATTATTTTTGTTATTATTACAAGTGTTAGCCCTCAATTATTAGGATTTTTAGTTGCCATTTGTTGCATTTCTCGTATACCACCCAGATCATACGATCGAAACGTTTATGACGCTTTAAAGTTGACTAAAAAATACGATGGTCGGGATTTCCCTCGCGTTTAAAGTTGAAAAAAAACAATGGAAATTAGGAATAATCAATGATAACATGCATATTGGCTTGGGCTAATATTTATAGTGGAGCCAAAATTTATATTGAAATTCAAACTCAAATTGAAATTTAAATTCAAACTCCAATTACATATGAAATGAATTTGAAATGCAATATTAAATTGAACATGGAAATTGCATAATTGATTCATACTGTTCAAGTAACATGCTTTATGAACCATCATGCTAAAAGACAATATTGATTGAGTTCAAAGTTGAGTTGTGAGTTGATGGGGTTGTCACACTTGTCACATGGTTGGAATAAAGTACTCACATGGAAGAGATAGATTGTTTTGTTATACACAACCCATCTCATCTGAATGAAAATATACATACAATATAATCAAACCAAAACATACATACACAACAAATTTATACATAACAATGTTCAAATAATGTACCCACAAAAACAAAATTAATCCGATGAAAAAGGGTTATTTCTAACGAAGTCCGGAACATTATTTTTTCCAAATAATGTACCCATAACAATGTTCAAATAATGTACCCACAACAATGTTTAATTGATTTGTTGTTTAATTTTCAATCTGTATTATGTTAAAGGTAAAAAGGATATGTTGAAGGTAAATTCGCAACGCAAAATAAGCGTTGCGAAAGTCAAATTCGCTACACGATAGTCAAATTCGCAATGCGAAAGTCAAATTCGGTTTGCGATTTCGCGTTGCGAATTTGACTATCGCGTTGCGAATTTGTCTTTCGTATTGCGAATTTGACTTTCGTGTTGATCGCAACATACAACATCAAGGTATATACAACATCAAACACATTCCAAGCTATAAATACAAGCTAAGGACACTTGAAGAAGCAAGAGAACAACTATCCAAGCAATCAAACACAAGAGAAAATCCCAACATGATAACAACTGAACAGATCATAGCAATGTTCAAACTCAAGTTACTAATGAATGTCTAACTGAAAATGTATGCATTCACACATAAAATACACATAATACAACGTTTTCATTTAAAAATCACCTAAGTTAATAAGTCCCAAAAGGTGAAGCCGGTTGTGATTAGGATTTTGATTTTGATTGCGATTTTGATTTCCTTTTGCTTGGAACCATATGAGCTTTGGATTTTAATGAGGATCCATTTTTTGGTAGAGGAAAAGATGATTGTGATGACACTGGTGATCCACGAGTCAACCTTGTATGACCACTTTCCTTGCACCGACTACATGTCGATATCCTCTTCTCTTCACCCTTAGATGGTATACGATCGTGATTTTTTGGTCGGCCAAGTAGCATGCTGTCCATGACTGGTGGCAAAACTATTTGTAAGTCATATGGTATGTCCCACTCAGAAGGATGTGGACATGGGTAGACAATCTCGGCATAAGTCTGTCGATATTCTTCTGTAGTGTAGTAATCCATAGCGTTTGCGCTTGAATCATCTTGGTTTAGATGAAGAGCAACTTTTATAACATGGCCACACGGATAACCAGATGTTTGTCATTTCTTACAACTACACGTCTTTGCATTTAGATCGACAAGCCCATTTAAGTTATTATCCAATACTTCAAACAAAGTGTTTGAACATGGTTCAACTCTCCAGGATGTTGACTTCACAACACGTTTCATTATCTTTTTTTCAGTCCATGGTGTAACACGACGTTTCAATGTTCCTGTAAATTTAAATAAATAATACTTAGTAAAATATATGATAAGTTACGAATTTAAAGAAATAATACATGCATGGTTTCTTTTCTTGTAGTACCACTGTTGAATAAAGGCTAAAAAAACTCCATTAACATAGTAATGGGTAATTTCTGGGAATGAGGACTTAGAGCGTTGATTGATTCTGCACTATTAGATGTCATGAAACCATATCTTGCTCCAAGTTGATGTATTATTGACCATCTTTCAAACCCGACATCTTCTAGTGTTTGAGCACATTGAGGCAAAACACGTCTTAAAAAATTTATATGCTTATTAAAATCCACTTCCCGATAAGCTTTTACAGCCTTCCAGTATGTCCATTTGTGATTTTTTATATCAGTAGACCTTGATTTTAGATTTCTGTACAAATGAACACCACAAAGTCCATGAAAAGCATCTGGGAAACACCTTCTAACAGCGTTGTCAATTGAGTTTGCCCTATCGGATATGATTGTCAGATTGCTAATAGGACCTACGTAATCTCTAAGATGTCCCATAAACCATGTCCATAAATCAGAGGTTTCAGATTTGCCAACCCCGTAAACTATTGGCAGTATCCTATTGTTAGCATCCATGGCTACTGCTAATAAGTTTACTCCAAGGTATCGACCTTTCAAATGTGCTCCGTCAACTATAATAATTGGGCGCATACAAGTAACAAACGAACGAATCTACAAAATCATATACACAAGAAATATAATCACTTAAATGTGAAATGCATGCAACTAACAAAAACGAGTCAACAAAATTATAATGATTTACTAACCGCAGCACCAATGGCGATAAACAGCAACTCAAAGCGTCCATGTCTATCTGTTTTGATATGAGTTACCGACCCAGGATTTTTCAGCTTTAAATTGTGACAATAAGCCGGCAGTTGGGCAAACGATGCTTCTGGAGACCCCCTCAACAATTCCAAGGCATAACATTTGGCTCTCCAAGCTTGAGAATATGAGATACTAATCTTGAACCGAGCATTCATGCCAGTCATAATTTCATGTCTCCGATATACCCTTCCATTCAAAAACATTAACTCAGCCAGAAAACCACCCAACACCTTTTTGTTTGCCTGTCTATGGTGAGGAAAAACTTGAGTTCTTGAACATGTATGTTTATCAATAAAAGTCCTAACTTGAAACATTTCAATATCTTTTATCCTCTTTGCAATCATACGCCAAGTACAGTTTTTTTCAATTATACACCTTGTTTCGAAACGATCTTTGCTTGATTTGTTAACTCTTAGTTGATAGTCATCTTCCACACATTTTGTATACAAAGCTATCTTCAAGTCTTTCTTTTTATCAAAACAATCATTTTTCTTGATACGAATAATTTTTGTGTAACAATCAACTGATATCTTTACCAACTCTTCTTCTAGTATCTGAAGTAATTATGGCATATTCCAGTTATACTCCCATGGCATTTTCTTCTTTTTCCTTTCTTCGGGGACTTCTTCTTCTTCTTTTTCTTCTTCTTCAGGGTTATATGAATTACAGAATGGATGTTCAACATGTTCATTCACAGTCGTAACTTCCTCCTCATTATCATCAACAACATCTTCCTCGACAGCGGCTGTTTCATCATCAAAATTCGTGTATTGACCAATATCAAAATCATTACATGCAAGGTCTGTTTCTTCTTTCATCACATCATCAAAATCTGAGTATTGATCAAGATCAAAGTCCGGGTATTGACCAAGATCAAATTTCGAATACTGACTAGTACTCACAATTTTTTCTGTTGGCTCATAATCGTCTAACTGGTCAATACGAAAACCGGAATTTGGTGCTGAAAGTTGATTGGGATTTGGATTAGGAAAAAGTTATGGGTTTTGAGATTGTGTTTGATATTGCGTTTGGTATTGGAAATGTGGTGAAACAAAATTTGCTTGGTGATGAAATTGTGGTGGAACCATTAAATTTTGGGTTGAAGAACTTAGTTGATTACTACCCGCTACTAACCCAACTTCACTACTTCTAGGTTCAACAACATACAATGTAACATCATCTTCTTGCGAAACACTAATGTAAGCAATGAATCGTTCAACATCTTCATTGTCGGTTAACAAATAAACTTTACATTTTCTCAGATAAGATAGCCTAAATCCACTTAGAGGCTCTAAATTCATTTTCTTTGCAACACGTAACATTAGAGTTTCATAAGTTAACTTTTTTAATGACAGTTTTAGTTGAAGATTCATAGGTAAAGGCACATATTGTAAAACACCATGAACATTCTCTCATGACCCTCCAAAACACAAATCTATCCAAACATGATCAATATTAGATGATTTCATTCTAAAAATTGTAAATTAATTTACTAAAAAAATGAGCTATAAACTAGATATCATCACTAACTTAGAGAAAAACATACCTTTATTAAGTTGATAATTGATAATTTAGGAGAGAAATCATTGAAATATTATATAGAAATAAAATTATGTAAAAAAAATAGAGATGGGGAAGGATGTCGTTGGATATAGGAACGGATGTCGCCGGAGAGAGTGATAGATGGAGATGGAATGAGTTGCGATTTAGGGATTTAGGTTATGAGTTGTTGATGCTACGTTGTTATATACCCAAAACATTTGTGATGCGAAACTAAAACCTGTTGCGAAATTAAATTCGCGTTGAGAATTTGAAATTCAGTTGCGAATTTGACTATCGCGTTGCGAATTTGACTTTTGTGTTGCGAATTTGACTATCGCGTTGCGAATTTGACTTTCGAGCTGCGAATTTGGAAAATCGCAATGCGATTTACATATTCGCGTTGCGAATTTGTTGGTCATTTTGGCAAATCCAAAAAAAGTTGGTTAAATTCGTATATTATAAGGCATTTTTGGTCACTGAGGTTATTTTCTCTAAATATAAATGTGTGACTAAATTATATCGTTTTTTTCATAAATATGTGTTTAAAATAATTTTTGATTCATCCCGTTAATTAAAGTTATAGACGTTGTTATTTTAGGTGTTCGGACCATCAGTTAAGTTAATTTTTCTCGTAAAGCGACACGTGTTACAATCTGGTAATTTTAAAAAATTTATTTAAAATTAAAATTATCTATATTAAAAAACATAAAAAATTTGAAATAACTCCAAAACTTTGAAAATTTTCATTTCAACCTTTAAACCCACACTGACTGTCGCCCTTTACTGTCGACGAAGCTTCATTCAACCTCACCTCCCCTAGTGACCAAAACCCTATGACATTGTAACCCATCAACAATTGATCGATTGCAAATCGAAATTTTATATCCCATAAACTCTAGGATGAAAATTGCGATCTCGTGCGATTTCAACGACCAATCGACAGCAACTACGACGGCGTATGACTAGGAGAATGACAAGAACTACGTCGATAGTGGTTGCGGGCGGAAATGACAGTGGCAGTGGATTAAGGTTAGGATCTGGAAATTTTAAAGATTTTTAGGATCTTGAAATTTTAAGGATTTTGACATTTTTCTATAATTTAAGAGAATTTGTATATATATATTTAAAAATTTAAAATCATCAGATTATATCCTATGTTATTTAACAAAAAAATTAATGTTATTAACAATCTAAATACCTAAAATTATAATATTTATAATACTAAACACGGAGATAAATTAAAAAAAGAGAAAATAACCTCAGTGACCAAAAATCTCATATAATATACGATTTTAACTAACTTTTTCCGGATTTGCCAAAATGACCAACAAAATCGCAATGCGATCGCTAAATCGCAACGCGATCTCCATTATCGCAAATTCGCGTTGCATTTTCGCAATGCGATAGTTGAAAATCGCGTTGCGATGGTCTACAGTATCGTTGCGATTTTCCCAATTCGCAATGCGAATAAGTAAATCGCAACGCGAATTGGGAAAATCGCAATGCGAATAAGTAAATCGCAACGCGAATTGGGAAAATCGCAATGCGATACTGACTATCGCAATGCGATAATAAAAAATCGCAACGAGATACTTACTTTCGTAACGCGATACTGACTTTCGCAACGCGATAATACATAATCGCAATGCGATTTTCAAAGCGCCATTAGTATCCTGGCCAAGTATTTTATTTTTAAATTCCAAACATGAATATTAATATATTGGAACACTGAACTGTCCACAGTATATCCCGTAATCGCAACTCATAACCTAAAACCTAAAATCACAACTCAGTCCCATCTCCATCTCTCACTCTCTCACCCATCTCCGACGAAATCCGTCCCCATCTCCGGCGAAATCCGTCTATCTAAATCTCTCAGAGCCACCCTCACAATCAGAAATGGAAAATCAACCAAATCAACCAACGAGGGTTAGTTTTTTTAATTATTTTCTTTTTGAAAATTTTACATTATTATTAGGTTTTTCATATTGAAATTGATGATAAGTTTACTGGTAATTTCAATAATAGATTAACCATTTCACTTAGATTGCTTATTAAATCAACCAAGAATCGCAACGCGAAATGCAAATCGCAACGCGATTTTAGTTTCGCGTTGCGATTCTCTCATTGCGATAGTCATTTTCGTGTTGCGATTTTCATTTTCAGAAACTATTCTGCTTCTGCAAATTGAAAATTGAATGAATTGCATTACTTCAACCAAAAAACAAAGACAAATACGAAATTCACAGTGTTGCATATTTAAGTTTGAAGAATAAACTACTACTATTTATGTTTATTATTGTTTTTGGTATATCTTCACAGTGTAGTTTTTGGTATATCTAATTTAGTATGTTTATTGTTTTTGTAGAACTTTTATTCGGCTCAATTGACCTTGAGAAATAAAGTCAGCCTGGCCAAAACAATTGCGTCGAAGCTTTCACCTGCACAAAGAAAAATGTTTGAGGATACATGCTTCGAGCCATGGCTGAAAGTACAACATCCCGGTGGAGATGCGATGTTGACACACCTGTTTCTTCAAACCATGACTAGCGATCTACCAGAGACTATACAACGTCGTGATGAAGAGATATGGTTTGATTTTCCACCGGCGTATACGTGTTTTGGGCGGGAGGAGTTTTGCTTAATCACCGGTCTACGCTTCGGACACGATGATGTAGGTCGGTACACTAGACACATTACCCGCCCATCATGGCTATCCCGGGTTTTTCCTGAGCTGGAGAGGCCGAGTCTACACGTAGAAGACCTGACAAGATTTTTGAATAATAAAGATGGTTTTACTCGGATGGATGACGTCGACGTTGTCCGAGTATGCCTTCTAATTCTTTTTCATGCCGGCTTTTTAGGCAGAGAGGCCAGACAACCTATTCCAAATGAAATAATCAAATTGGTAGAAGACCTAAATGCGTGGAACCTGTTTCCGTGGGGCTCGTATTTATGGAAAGCTACATGGAATAAGTTATCGTCTGCCTTGGATGATCGAAAAAGTTTGCATGGCGATGGTTCCAAATACACTTTGACAGGCTTTATTTGGGCCTTTAAGATAAGAATTTTGATATGATGTTTCCAAAATTATAAGTAATTATTTAACAATTACTAATGTTTGTTATTATATTGTTTGTAGATTTGGATATTTGAGGCCTTTCCCGCCATGAAGACATATGCAATAAAAACTTCAAATGATATTCCCAGGGCTATTTCCTGGAAGAGGAAACGGACCTTGCAATGGGAAGATTTACTACGGTATACGATAATAAATAATGTAAGTTAACATAAATACTACCATATGTTTATAAACAAGTTATTACTAGTACACGTTTAACTTTGTTTGGGTTTTTATATTGTTAGGAGGCCAACACTCCTCTACAGAGGCTGACACCCACGGAAGCTGAGCTTGCCACTGATTGGTGGCAAGCTAGTAAGCGTTTTTTTGATGGAACGGTTGATGAGCAGCCTCCACTTCGGGAGCCATCACCTCGCCCAGAGCTATCACCTCACCTAGAGCCATCATCTGATCGACCTGGCTATACACCTCCACAACGACAGCCATCACCTATTCTGTCACATCATCGAGCCTCTTCTCCACCATCACCGCAAGATAGGCGACCGGCAAAGATGCCACGACGTTTATCTCCAACGGGATGAGTTAGGGGAGTTACGTGATGAGGTCAATGCCTTGCGTGAGGAGGTCGGTACTTTACGCAAAGACGATGGTGCATGGCGTGTTGAGGTGTCTACATTACGCGGTGAGGTAGCCGCTCTACGTGAGATGGTAGCATCGTTGCAGAATGAGGTTCATACTCTACGCAACGAGGTAAGTTTAAGATTTTTCATACTCGTAATTCATTCGGTTGCTGCCAATACTGCTAAACTGTTTTTGTTAGTATTTGTTTTTGGTTTTGTTTTTGTCTTTTGGTTGAAGTAATGCAATCCATTAAAGTTTCAATTTGCAGAAGAAGAATAGTTTACTTTCGCAACACGAAAATGACTATCGCAACGCGGAAATGGCTATCGCAATGCGAAATGAAAATCGCAACGACAAAATCGCAATGCGAAATGAAATCGCAACGACAAAATCGCAACGCGAAATGAAAATCGCAATGCGATTTGTGTTTCACGTTGCGATTTGTCGTTGCGATTTCATTTCGCGTTGCGATTTTGTCGTTGCGATTTCATTTCGCATTGCGATAGCCATTTCCGCGTTGCGATAGTCATTTCGCGTTGCGATTTTAAGTTTCGTGTTGCGAAAGTAAACTATTCTTCTTCTGGAATGTTTATATATGTTGTCCTTTTAAATGTTTATATAAGTGCTTACTTCTGGAATGTTATCTGAGCATTTTGTGAACTATGATAGAATAATGATTTGGGTGAATACAATGCTAGTTTGAAACATATTTG